GAATTGTGGCAAAATGGAGTGTAGAGGCCCTGAGACATTAAACAATGACAACAGCAACCGCAAGAAACATGCAGCACCTGCCAAACACTTGCCATGTGGGCCAGTTAAAACCTGTGTGTGGCTAAGTTTGGCCTGGAGGCCACCAGTTTACGGTAACCTCTTGACTGGATCATAGCAATATGCAAAAAGGACTGTAAATTTTGTCATATATTACCAAAGGTGGCAACCCAAGAAGTGAAGAAATTAATTGGGACATAAAATGTTCTTTGCTTTTGTATTTAAAAAAAAAACCCCTAAAAACCATTCAAATGCCTAATAATTGGAGAATGACTATTCAAACTATGATATAACTACATAACCGTTTAAAGCACAGAAACATATAGAAAGTGCCTGTGCATGGAAATGTACATGTGTGAAAATTAAGTGAGAGTAGAATAAAAAATTATAAATGTAATTGAGTTACAATATATGTTAAATATTGAAAAATAATTTGGAGTAATGTAAATAGTTTGATGCTCATCAGATTTTTTTTTCCTGAAAAGAAGCTTAAATCCACCATGAAGAAAAAGAAAATGCAGGCCACCTCTATGAAGAACATCAGTAAAATATCTAGTTGTCCTTTGGATTCCATCTAACTAAGCATGAGTATGACAATTTCAATAGCATATAGCTTTGTCCTATAAAAAAGTGTTCATTTTTACCTGAGATGACTTGATTACCTACTCTGTTATACGCTGATATTTTGTCACTACTTCAGAATTCTGTTTTTTACTCTTTTCCTATTCACCTTACTTTATAAATATGGATCCCAGGAAAATGATTCCAGTCCCAAACTTCTTGAGTGACACCCACCCTTTTATACCATTCATGAGTAGGTACTGAGCCAAGTCCCTGGGGTAATGTCAGAAGGTTCTTTAGCTTCAGAATTGGCCCAGACTTTGAGGATACTTCAGGTCCTGGGATTTCCAGAATGTGGCCACCCCCCTGAGTGGAATGTCCATGGTGGTTGCCATTCGATGCCTGTGCGTAGCCTGTGAAATGCCTGGGAGTGATTCAGGAGAATTCAGCTCCTGAAATGTCTGGGGGTGACAGCAACCTCTCTCCCCCTGTTGTTACTCATCGGTGTGATGAGGGCCTCAGTCTTCCTGTTGTGATTCCTTCTCACACAGCCCATAAAGCAGTGACTAATTTTGCAGGAATCTCGGGATGACAACTGTGATGTCTTATCTTTCTAGGCTTCAGGTGTATGTGCTAGAGGGACAGGGACTTGATGTTGTGTCATAGGCCAATTTTAGCTTGGTTGGTGGGGGCACTGTGTGGAGGCTCAGGGTGATTTCAGTGAGTTCAGATTTATCAACCCTTTGAAACAAACGCACAGGTTACTTTCTGTGCTGATATGAGGTAAAATTCTCTAGTGGGTGTGTATTCATCATTGGTGCTACCCTTGGATCAGTTTTTACTGAGATTTCACTTCTTGACTGCTTCGTCATTGAACTTTCTAGAAGTTGCTCCACAACAACTGATTTTGCATAATAACTCAACATATTTGTGAATGTTTACTCAAGGGACTTAATTTCTCTGTGCCTAGCAATCCAGGCCTAGAAGTAGGTAAGTCACTTTCTTCAGTTCAGACAAGATTAGTATTTTTACAAAGAACTTGGCTAGAGATCCCGAGTGTAATTGCAGATAGCTTGACTGACATAGATCAAAGTTCTTTTTTTTAAAAAAATATATCTTTATTGATTTCAGAAGGAGGAAAGGAGAGCGAGAGAGAGAGATAGAAACATTAATGATGAGAGAGTCAGGGCATGTGCCCTGACCGGGAATCGAACCCTGATTGCCTGGATCCTATGTCGACACTCAACCGCCGAGCCACGCCCGGCTGGGTTAGATCAAAGTTCTTAGGTCTGTTTTTCTATTGCATTTCCTCTGACTTAGTGTTAGACTAGTATAGTCATACTGCATCTTGTGGTCATTTTCAGTTGGTTCCAAAGCTGCTGTGTGTTCTCACTTTCCTTAGAATGTATTTGCCTGTGGTCCAGTGGTCTGGTTCCTGAATTCTCATTCAGGGAAGGGGTCCC